AACATTTTTCAGGTCATTTAATAATACTATGTATATTATCTTGAAAATCAATAAAAATCCTCTCTTTGCTTACACAATTTTTCCTTTAACTCTACTTGGCAATGATTTTCACCATCTTCCCTATACATTATTTAAAAAATTCAGTGACAGCAATAGTCGTCACGTAAAATGACAAGAGAGTTCAGGAGACGGTTGTACGAAAGTTGGATAAAGTTTAAGATTTTCTTCACTGWATATTTCTGAACATACAGACTTCGTTCTTCGTACAACTGCCTCTGAAATGCTCAAATATTGCTCAAATATCTAACATAACACAACTTAAGGTTGATAACTAGTATAAAGAGATTTAGATTCACGTTCACGGCCAACGCCGAATTGACTTAAAAGATTCGCTCTACAAAATTAAAAAAACGTAATTGAAAGGAATCAGTGATGCGCTCACGCACTACAAAACGATCGAATTTACGTACAAATGCAAAAGAACGTTGCGTTAATACAGAAAAAAAACAGTAAGCACGTGGTTAGCTCTGACGTTTTTAGTAAACGTCAATCTAAAACTCTTGTTTACATTTTGAAAAAGAAATTGATATGCACGTTGATAGTCAGGTCAAAGATATTGCGCAAATGTTATTAATTAAAATTCTGCAAACGTAACTACAAAATGGGCCGTTTTGTAGTTATACATATGCATCAGTGATAACAATTTATATTATAATTCTAATAGCAGAATAAGAGTTACTGAGTCACTTTTTATGCTAGCTTTCTTTGATGACTATCCATGGAATACGTACACCAATTGCGTATGAAGTGCAATGTTGTTTAGGTAAAAATTAGATCGCTGGGATAAAATAACTTGGACGTTTTTTTCTTGTAGATATCTTGGTTGCTTTCAATACCTGACGTGAACAACAGAAGAAGTTAGTATTTCCAATTTTCAGACGATTTAAGTAAGTATTTTACCGCTTTAAAGTTGCTGTCACCCTTACAAGGAAACGTTCTTATATGATTGAAATGTTTTTAGTAATAGTCGGAATATTGGATGTTAGATATCATCAACAACAGACGTTTTTTCTTCTGAAGAACTAGAGTTAAAATAAAAATTCTTATGTTAACCCAGGAATTATAATCAATCGTGGTCTAATGAAACAATTTTTGAATGGAAAGTAAAATTGTATCTTTGGTGATTTTGTATGTATAGTTTACAACACGGACGCGTATGCTSTACACGACTTATRAAGTGCCAACACCACATGAATTACATTRRGATAAATGACCAAACATTTGGAAAACTTTACCTTTTGGACATAACAACATGCTCCCTGACACTGTGAACTCGTGTTTGACTCCCAGGCTCATCATAAGTAGTTCCCCCACTTGTTTGTATTATTCTTTTGACGTGCGTTCCATCTTCCAGTACATCTTCATAGGTTTTTGTCTGAGCCTTTTGTTTGAATTCTTTCATCAGTTCTTTCCTTTGAGGAGCGTTTTTATCTGTGGCACCYAACGTGACCTTCCGTTCGAGTGGTTGTACTTCCATGGATGTCTGAGGTGCGTATCTCGTRTTGTCATCAACACTTACCCTTCGCACTTCCCATTTTCCATCTTTTTGCATTAAGGCAGGGAAGTTCGGTTCTGTTTCATGTGTTCGAAATTGAATTGCTCCGGAATTTTGGCTGCTATGGTAGAAACTCTGTTGATGCGATGATGAGCTGTGCTGGGCTTGATAGGAATGCCTTGTTATCTTTTGGCCTTGATCTCCTGTTATCTCAGATGTATGCGTTTGCTCCCATTGTCCTTGTTTAACTCCGCGAACACTTTGAACCTGCCAACTGCTTCCAGAAGATGGCGATTGCTGTCTTTGAACCTCCATTTGATGAACTTTGATTCCATCACCGGGRCTGCCACTTATAATCTTTTTTGATTCTTTTCGGACTTGAGCGTAAGACGATCCTGGACCTGAACTTTGGATCTGCTCAGTTTGTCGCGTTCGTAGGTCATCTGTAAATGTATGGTCTTGAAGATGTTGTGTATCCACATCAATGTAAGCAATACCTTGATTTTGTAAGTTAGATCGCTGATTCGATTGGTAAGAAGTATCKATTCGGTGGACCTTTGCGTCAGCTCCCTTTGTTTGTTTAYTCTGTGTTGATGAGTATGTTTTATSGGTTGTCTGGCGGGAACGTTCAAAACCCAACTTTTGGCTCTGGTCTTGAGGTAAGTCAACTTGACGGACATTAAAACCAATATTGTGYTGTCCTTTATTTTCCTTATCTGTTGTAGAAACTGTTGTCTTTTGGGAAYTCCAAATGTAGTCGTGCTGGTTCTGATCTTGAGTTGAGTCAAGTTTACGAATAGCAACATCACTGGTGCGAAGTCCACTCTCATTCTTATCTGTTGTTGATTCARCAGCCCACTTGTAACCTGGTTCACTTCGCTGTTGAGAGAAMTCAGTTTGGCGAATGATAACATCTTCTCTGGGGTTTCTATTTTGTTCAATTTGTCGTGTAGAGAACTTTGTGTGAGATGTCTGTTGAGAGTTTTCACCTCCCGAATTATAGCTTTGTTGGCTCTGRACATTAAACGAGTTCCCTTTTAGAACATTTAAATCGCCTCTTTCAGGTCCACTCTGTACTTTATTTGTTGAGGGCTGCACTTTCTTCGTAGACGTTTGAACTGTCCACTTGTAGCCACGCTGACTGATTTGTTCAGGAAAGTCAATTTGACGTAAAGAAACGTCAACATGTCCAGGACCTCTCCTTTTCATTTCTTGTGTTTCATTGTGCGTACGGACWMTCCTTTTGTAGCCTTGTTGGTTGTCTTGTTCAGAAAGGCCAATTTGACGGACAGTTACACCAAAGTTTGGAGGACCATCCCGTTCCATTTCTGTTTTAGAAACAGTTTTTTGTACTGTCTKCTGAGGTGTTTGAGTATCCCACTTGGAGACTTGTCCTTTCTGGTTTTGACGAACTGTTATATCAATATGAGGCCCTCTCTGTGCTTTATCAGTAGACTGAGTTGTATGCAGAGACCTTTTCACATTCCATTTAGAACTAGACTCATTAACATCTATAGGAATGTCTATTTGATGAACAGTAACATCAACGCCACGGGAACTGCTTTGTGTCATTGTTGTATTTGAGAATGGCTTGGTTGSTTGCTTTTGGGAATCTATAACATCCCATTTAAAACCTGCCCTTGGCTCTTTWTCAATTTTACCAGTATCTTTTCTTTGTGGGCGAACACCAACAAATGCTGTACCAGMTTTGTCTACTTGCATAAATCTTTGCTTCCCAATATCGAAACCTGGTYGTTCTTCATTTCCCACCTCAAGCAAAGAGTTCTGATCCTTGTTTTGCATAACTTTAAAATCTACTATAGATGCTTCTCTTTTTTCTGGAAAATCTTTTGAAATCCGTTTTACATCTTTATGCTGAGCACCATTAACTATTTCAGTTGTTTCTTTGATCACAGACAAATTTCCTTTTTTCTCTGAAGTACCTGACTGATATACACCTTTGTTTCTCATATTCAAATGTATTTGCACTTCTTCATCTYCTGAGCGACGACTGCTTCCTTTCTTCCATCTTTGCGAATTGACAACATCRTCATGCTTGACAACTTCAGCACTTTGGAGTTCTGGAATCTTAAGTTTCTTTGGCTTTTCTTCGTCCTTCTGATTATGAGTATGAACAGGTTCCTTCCTAAAAGGCTCATCGTCTTTAGTAAAATTTCTGTCCATTCGTATTACTTCTTTCATTTTAGGCTTGCCGACTTGTTTGGTGGAGAATTCGGGAATAACACGTTTGTTTACCATTTCTTTAGGCATTTCAAATTTTTCTTCTCTTGGTTTCTCTTCAAACCTTGTTTGATCTAGCTTTTTGACCTCAATGACTTCCGACTTGCGCACCTCTTTGGTTGCATAGTTTGGAATATTCAGCTTCTTGACTCTTGGAACCTCTCTCTTCTCAAGCGGCTCCTCGGGCTCCTCTCTGTTTTCAAAGAGCATGGTGTTGAGCCTTTGGACCTGGACGACCTCCTCCTGCTTGACGACTTCCTTTGTGGTGAATTCTGGAATCTTGAGTTTCTTGGGCTTTTCTTTGTCCTGCTGCGGAAGGGATTCTTGAGGTTCTTCGTTC